TGGATTTTTTTAGAAAACATTTCCGTGAGCAGATAATTTCACGTTTTGAGCCGGTCGATTGGTCACGAAGATCGTGTGATATCACATCGTTTTCCTGTGGTGATTTACAAAAACTGAAGTTCCATTTCGATTTAAGCCTTGGTCCATCCGTTGATGCTCGAATGAGTCATCGAAAATTGGACTCAACGGATGGACCATCTGAGACGTAGTCGCGGCCAACATTTGAAAGAGACGATCGTCAAAAAATAAATGCCATATAAATTTGAATTTCCTGTGCTTTTTCTGTAAAGAAGTAGGGAACCTCGAAATGGAGAAAATTATTTTTTTTTTTTGCGCTCGAATTCAGCTCAGAAATTCACAAAATGCTAATACTCATGAATTGGAAATAATAAACGATCTACTTGAATATAAATTTTCACTCGCATAACTCACAAGTATTTAAAATATTCAAAATCTAAAAATACTTTCTTACAAAAATAAAAAAATACATTCATATCATATTTTTAATAAAGCATAATAGAAATAATACCACTATAAACCAATGCGACTCCATACATGAACATATGTATTTATATAATATATATGCATGTGAGAATCGAAAATAGACACGAGTATATATTTTATCACATAATGGATTAGATTTCCTTGAGTGAATGCAGTACTTAGCCAACCTTGAATCCTTTGGCGAACCATTCATGCAAATAAACCGAGACGAAAGACAGTTTCATAAAGCAGAAGAGAGACGCAGTACTAGCGAGGAAATGAAATAAGGAGCATTTATACAAATAAGTAGTAAACGAGCACCATCGCACTGCATATTGTATAGTATGTGGCATGCAACACAATATTCTCTTACATATGCGGCAGATTGTATAATGTACAATGCTGATAGCTATTACTTAAAACTTTTCGTATCATTTTGCATTTCTGCAAGCAAGCAAATAAATATGAAAATGATTTGAGGGCAACAGAGGAAAATTGTTCACTTGCTTTCGTATGTATGCGTGTGTGTCTATGTGGGCACATAGACGATGTATGCACATGTGTAGGAGAATTGTGAAATTATATGGGTGATTTATGTACTCTACATGGAGCGATTTTTTATGCCCAGCACAGCTACTATAATGTCTTAAAGATGCCTGGGTAAGACGAAGATCTAAATAATTTGCAGTTCGTTTTTTCTTTTATTTACTTATATTATCTACTTATATAACCGGGACTCACATGTACGAATCTCAAGAGATTGAGTGTATAACAAAAAACCTTCAAGTTCGCAGTACCTCGTAAAGTTTTATAAGTTTTGACCTACTCTTTTTCGATTGTTGTCCATATGGTAAGCACTTTTCAGATGCCACTTTTCCTAGTTTAAAAATAAAATACCTTGACATTCACCTCTTCGTTCTCACGAGAACTTATATGTATTCGAAATGAGCTGATTCCTGTTGGGTTCAAGACTTATTGTTCGACGCTAGGAGCATTTGGGATTAGTTTTCTTAATTATCATTTAAAAGATTACAATTAAACACCTCTCTCGAAAAATACTCATTGACCGCATATATGCTGTTCCCCAGATCTTTGGGTAATTCTTAAAGACGAGAGTCAAAACCCTCACAACTACAAAGCGATGGCTTTATAGCGCTATAGTATGTCTGAATTCGGTACCCTAGAAAAGAAGTATTGACCGTATATTTCGATAGGTAACTTTACATATACTGCCAACAGATTTGTTATATAAGCAACTTTCGCTATAAGTTTTTAGACTAAAGGAATCCTATTTATTAGTAGCCTGTAGTAAAGGGCATTCTTCGATACTTAGTAAATTCTAGTTTCTATTCATTCTATTTTCAGCAATAGATACCAAAATCGCCTTCCGTCACACATTTTTTCATCATAAAATATTTCATAATAATGATTCCCATTCTAGCCAACAATCTGTATTAAATACGATAATTTATTCATTATATTTATTTCGAACGATCATTTTCACTTATCATTTTCAATTTTAATATATGTACTTTACAAACACAATTACATGGGTTGTGTGATATTTCGCAGCGATACAGCACTTATATTTTCATTCAAGATTTCTTCATGATACATGTTAACAAAAGAAATATACTATATATTATTTTTTCTTTGAAATATATGTGCAAAAATTTAAAAATTTTTAATGAGCTGCATGCTTGCAAAACCATGAATTTAAATAATTGATTTTAAACCATACAAGCCACCACGGCGTATGAGTAACTTCAATATATTATATGAATGTACTATATAATCAATATTCCAAATTTCTTTGCTGCACAAGTTAATTGAAACATTATAACCAAAATATTTTATATTTATTAAATAATTATGATAAGTAACTATACTTAGTGCTTTAGCAAAGCCCAACAATTATTTTCCAAAAGTTACCACGACGTATGAGTAACATTATCGATTAATGGAAAATAATTACCTGCTTAATTAGCTCAACTAATTGAAATCAGTATAACCGGATTTAATTTAATAATACCAAATTTAAAAAAAAATGTATTATTTTAAACATATTTTTAACATCACTCCCCAAAATTATATCATACAGGAAAGAATTCCAATACAAATTAATAAAAGGTGCGCAGGACGTATGAGTGATATTTTATTATTGATGAGTTTTCTCATTTGCAAGCATGCAAGGATTTGAGCAATTGAAAATATATATGGAATAATATATTTTGTTATGGGTTATTCAATCATTAATGCGAATTACATATCGACAAAAAAAATTATATTATATTTGATTACATTTTTATTCCTACAGCATATATTTTACATCGACAGGTCACCATGTCGTATGAGTAAAATATGTAAATAATAAAATTTCATTATTTTATACACATAAACGCCAGCATTACCTATCAAAACACCAATTGTTATTTCAATTCTATTATTATCCTACATTGTGACAAAAAAGCACCAGGAAATGGTAATTAAATTGCCAGGTACCGTAAACACAGGGAGACCATTATAAATGCCGATGAGACATGGGTTTAAGAGCTTGACGATTGAAGAGAAAAAACAAAATACGCTCCAGCTTGAAGGGCATCCCAAAAATTGCTTATGAAAAGTGTTTCGAGGACTGGAAAAATCATTGCCATAAGTTTATTAAATCTGGTGAGGACTACTTTGAAGACGACATAATAAATATTGATAATTAAGGTTAGGTTTTGCATTAATTTACAATGTATGGTGATTCTATTCAAGTAGTTCCTACAAATATGCAGATTATTATTGATAAAAAACGTGTGCAAAATTTCAGTTGGATTCTCACAAAAACTGAGAAATCAGTTGCTATATATATTGACTCACAGACAGACAGTAACCTGGCAACCCTTGCATTGTTGCTTTCAAAAACTTTAAAAAGCTTTTTTTAAACTCTAAAAAAGTTAAGTTCGGCTGCAGCGAAGCTTTAGTACCCTTCACAAACACAAAATCAATATAATAAAAAATATTCCTTACAGAAACTTGATTTTGATCGATTACTTTGTATGACAACTATATGCTATAGTGGTCCGATATGAGCAATTGGTTCGAGAATGTTTCGATGACATGGAAAATATATCGCTCCTAATTTTGTAAAGATATATTGTCTAATAAAAAAGTTTTCCGTACAAGAATATGTAAGAATTTCTTCAGAGATTGAACCACTACCTTAAACAATAACCTAATATCTCTTTAAATGACAGAGCTTCCTATCCAAGAATCAGATCCCCAGCATTCAGTATGTATGGCAGCTATATACTATAATTATCCGATCTGAATAATTTCTTTACAGATTGCACCATTGCTTTAAACAATAATCTATGACAATCTCGTACAGATATCTGGTTGAAGTAAAAAGTCTTCCTTACAAGCACTTGATTCCTATCGTTCAGTTTGTTTGGCAGCTATATGATATAGTGGTTCGATCTAGAAAATATATTCAGAGATTATAGCGATATCTTTGCCAAAATGCCAAATTTCGTGAAGATATATCATCGAATTAAAAAGTTTCTATACAAGAACTTAATTTTGACTATTCAGTTTGTATGGCAGCTACATATATGCTAAAGTGATCCGATCTAAACAAGATCTTCGGAGATTGTCCCAAGAGCTCGGGCAATAACTCATGCCGATTTCTTGAAGATATCTTTTTAATTGAAAAAGCTTTCCATACAAGCACTTAAGTCCTATCGTTCATTTCGTATGGGAGCTATATGTCCGATACTGCGGGCTCCAACTAATAATCAGCTTCTTGCAAAACAAAGGATTTGTGCAAAATTTTAGATCGATATCTCAAAACTTGAGGAACTAGTTCGCGTATAAACAGACAGGAAAAGAGACTTGACTATGAATCGGCTCAGCTCATTGTGCTGATCATTTATGTACATGTATACTTCATAGATTCTCTGATGTTTTGTTCTAAGAATATATTAGGTTCTCAAAAAAAGTCTTGCGGTATTTTTGCGTTGTTTTTGTTGAATTTTCAATTGTTCTCTTTCGACCAATTCAGCGATTTTATCGCAATTTTCGACGACAGGCCTTCCGGAGCGTGGCGCATCTTCGACTACTCTACACCAAAACGAAAACGTTGAAACCATCGTTGTGCGGTGGAAATGGAAACTGTATCGGGTCCATAAACTGCACAAATTTTATTGGCGGCTTGAGATGCATTTTTGCCTTTATCGTAGTAGTACTGTAAAATATGCCGTATTTTCTCTTTGTTTTGCTCAATGTTTGCGACGCTATAACTCACGAACGACTCAAAAGAAACGACAATCAATCAAACAAGTGTTAGCGCGTGAAATGAGCTTTCCAAAAAGGTATAGCATGACCCGATACGACGAATAAAAGTAGAACTACGCGCTCTCAGCGCCAACTAGCGAAAATACCGCAAGACTTTTTTGACAACCTAATATGTATGTGATCAAAAAAATATTACATAATTAGTTTATGAGCGCATAATGGGAATCTAAACTTACTTTGTTGTTTGTTAAGCGCTATCATAGAAGAACTAGGGTATCCTTAACGTTGACACTATAATCTGCTGCCTTATAACAGTTTCTTTGTGCACCACTGTTGCTAACACTTGCCGTGTGCCGTGTGCCGCTTGCAATACCGTGCAATTTGACTCACTCTCTACTCGACTCAATTCAACTCGTTACGTACGTTTGCGTTGCCTTTAACCGCTTACGTGTAATTTTAATCATATTCGTTGTCACGCTTCACAGTTGAATCACCGTTACACACACACGCGTACCGCAACGTACACACAACGCGCGTACACACAGAAACGCGCAGGAAATCGGACTCACGCTCGCGCGCCTGTATGTGTGAGTGTGCGCGCACCAACCCACAAACAAATGAACCGTTACGAGCTGGTAGCGTACTGGTCGTACGCATTCAATGTACGTGTACAACAACAACAACACATGCGCACACGTTGTTCAAAAGACGACGTAAGCGCAACGCCGACCGCAAGGCTGTCAAGTGGGTAGTGGAGGCGTCGGCGTGCGCCCGCAACTCTGCTTTCACACACACTAATAAACAACACCAGTATATTGTTTGTTTGTTTGCTTTGCTTGGCTTTCTTTGCTGCTTCCTTTCGTCGGCGTTTCTTTTGTTGTATTTTTTCTTTTGTTTCGTGCACTTTTGTTTTCCTTTTCACTTTTCTTCGTATTATTTCTTTATTTTAATTTTTATTTTATTTAAGTAGTTGTTGTTGTTATGTTATTGTATTGCGGTTCGGAAAGCAGAAAGCGCAAAAGTGGAGCGCGGTGGCGAGGAAGACTGCAATGTGAAAGAAAGCGCATTGACGCATGGCGAAACAGGCATATACAAACACACATGTATATACTTGTAAGGACTCAAACTCACACACAAACAGGCACACAAGCTAGACAAAAGCACCGCAGCAGGCATTTTGTTCGAGCAAACTTTATATATTATATACACTAGTATATATGTATGCGCTATATTACATATAGTACATACATATGTATAAAATATAATGCACAATAATACGGATATTCATATACATATTTATATTAGGGTGCGCGTTTTTCTTCAAATTAATCTGTTTCTGCAAACGCATCTTAAAGTTTCTGTTTTTGCTCTCAAACAAAATTTCAATGCTAACAAGCTTACATTTTCACTTTAAAGTGTGCCTAACTAAATATTTTTTCCTGTGTATATAAGAAGGGATTTTTTGCTATTTTTCATTAAACAAGTAAGTCCAGAATTTTGGAAAAACCATATCATACTTTCTACTATAAAATTGTCTGCATTACAAAAAAAATTTTAATCTTTTTTTTAAATTTTAATCTTTTTTTTCATAAAAAACATTAATTTAACAATTATACGCTTTTAAAAATTTCCATTCAATGTACTGCACATTCATACAGTGCCATGGCGTATAAGTAACATAGAATTTAACATAAGGTAAGACACTTGTATGAATGCCTAGTACAATTGATGCATAATGTTAAGTGGCTATAAGTATAAAGTTGCAATTAATTTCAGGTAGCGTTTGCAAAAAGATCTAGAAAAACGGTTAAGTTCGGCTGAAACAGCTTTCACAAAGAAAAGACATAAAGAAGTTGCTATGCAAGAACTTATTTTTGATCGGTCAGTTTGTACAGCAGCTATTTGATATAGTGATCCGATCTAGAAAATATATTCAGACATTATACCGATATCTTTGTTAAAAATGCATGCCAAATGTCGTGTAAGTAACTCGCCAAATTAAAAAGTTTTCCATACAAACACTTAATTTTGATCGATCAGTTTATATGGCAACTATGTGATATAATGATTCGATCTAGAAAATATATTCATACATTATGGCAATATCTTTATCAGAAATTCTTACAAAATTTCGTGAAGTTATCTCGTCAAATTAAAAAGTTTTTCATACAAGAACTTAATTTTGATGGTCCAGTTTGTATGGCAGCTATATGTGAAATCGATCCGATCTAAACAATTTCTTCAGAGATTGCTTCATAGTATCAAGCAATAACCCACGCCACATTTCTTGACGATATCTTTTCAAATGAAAAGGTATTCCATACAAGCACTTTATTTCGATCGTTCAGTTTGTAAGGCATCTATATGCTATACGGTTCCGAAAAATTAGCAAAATAATGGGGTGAAATAGACGCATGCAAAATTTCAGAACGTTATTTTCAAAAATTAGGGACTAGTTTGAATACATACAGACATACAGATGAACAGACAAACACACTTTAGAGAGTATCCAACGTTTTCTTCTGGTTTCTACTAACTTCGTAGCAAACATAGTAAACATTTTTCTGGGTATAAGAATACAACAAGGATTACCCTCATAGAAATACCATATATGCGTATGTATGTGTGTGCTTTTACAAGTTCACACTCATTCAATTGTATACGTAATTCACAATGTGCTCGTGAGTAAGTAAGTGTTTAAACGCTATAAAATATCGGCTACTTCCGTCTTGAACACAAAAGGAAACGCCATTTCAACCGGAAGTTAAAACGTGATTTACGTGTATGCTGGTGTGTATGTATGTGTGTAGAATACCTTCAGCGCGTTCGGTATATCTTCGGCTTGAGTTTCATTACATTTTTGCACCGTTGACCGTGACGAAGCGCACAACTGCAACAAATACAACGAACAACACAACAACAAAAACAATAATTATACCAAAAACAATAATTGCGCAAAACCATAATCGCTCCAACACATTCTGAGCGTTATCCCTTACGCTACTTTTACACCCACCACCCTATATGTTGTTGTTGTAGTGTTGTTTTGCAATGTTTGGTCAATTCATTTGCGACGCTTGCCTGGAGCCTTAACTAACTACACCATTCAAAAGGTCCTCCATAAGCGCACACACAAAACACCATCAGCTTACCAACAACAACAACAAAGCATCCACATGAGCTTTGTTGTCTACAAATAGCTGTGCACTAATTCCATTTTACATACTGAAGTTCGCCGCAAATTAAACGCTTTTAGCTACAATTACTCAATAAATTTAAATCAACTCGTAACACAATTAAAAGTCCCGTTGCAGCCAATCGAACAACTCAATGCCCGAAAGCCTGACCTTTTATGCTGCTTGTGCAGTAGTTGTGGCGCGGTTTCCTTCCTCTTACGGTAGTTTCCTGTTTCGCAACAATTTACGTATTGCCATGGGCTGATGCATACAGTCCGTTATAACAGTGGTTTTATTTGTGGTGTTCGCTTTCATGTCGTCTATGAAACATAGACTGCTTGCTACCTAGGGCTGTTGGCATAAATGACGTACTGACTAATTGTTTTGCTCGTACACTATTGTGCTAAACTTAAGCAGCACTTTGTACGTCATTAGTATAGGGTGATTCATATAGAATTTTTTTAAATTAAATTAAGTTTTGACTGGTCAGTCGATTAGGTTGACATTTAAGTTTAGCATGATTGACAAATGTGTAAAAGATTTTAAACAAATAAAAACATATATGAAATATTATAATATGAATATCAAATTACGTAAATAGAAAAAAAATTCTTTCAGCACACCTAATCTATCTGCCTAACGAAATGCGAATTTTTAGAATGTATAATTTGAGTGAATAAACACATAGATTTTGTAAAAAAAAATTAATTTTTAGTAATTATTCGCTTTTTCGGAAGGAGGAAACTTTTGTTGAACACATTATCTCGAGTCGTGGGCCTAGGGCGTGGCCTCCAAGATCGCACGTTTTATGCTATGCTATGGCTTTTACAAAATACATCTTTTTTACAACATTTATAAAAGGTTTAGCTTTCACGGCGAAACCGGTTGCGGCTGATCGACTTCTCGGGGCTGTCTGCAGTACGAGACTCCAGTTTGATCATGTTGTGATAGATGGACGATATTTCTCCAATGTCCTTGAAGTAAGTATGCTTCGGCTATGACCACGTAAACGAAATCTACCCAGTAAATAAAAAAAAGACATATTAGCCTAATCCCACGGCTGAAATTTCTTCGAGCCAGCAGCGGTGATTACTTGTCCGACATTATTAATACAAAATGACGAACCACTTGTCTAAAAAAATATAGATCAATAGACTATCACGTCTACTAAAGGCCTTGGGAGGATGGAGTCATGTGTAGAAGTTTACGCAAGTGAGAAAAATTCTCTGATAGCCATTCACTTGGGAGTGGCCAGAAACGATTCTTTTACATATGACTCAAGCAGCTCACCACTTCCGGTCTTTGACCTAGTATCTTCTGGGTAGCCTAAGAACATCCGTTTGAAGGCGAGCTAAAGTGAGAAGGCGAAACATCCCCTCCGCAGGGAAAAACTACCAACAGCCCCCAATGAGAGACCCCCCTTTTTATGACGACCATGGAAAACGAAATAAGGACTACGAATTGAGGGCATGCACCTGGAATGTCCGGTCCCTTAATTGAGAAGGTGCTTCTGCCCAGCTGGTTGATGTCCTCATGAAAATAAAGGAGAAAGAAAATAAAACATGACCGCCGTCCAAGAAATGCGATGGACGGGACAAGGACAAAGACGAGTAGGTCCTTGTGGCATTTACTACAGTACTATCATTCACTCCGGTGAATGAAAGGCTAGCCACAATCCGAATCAAAGCGAGGTTCTTCAACATAGTGTGTACAACTGCTGGCGTATGATATTGATATCATCGGCCTCAACACCGTTAGTTCTGCTGTCTTTCTCACGTCACTGTTGACAGTCATAACTTTGAAGTCGTAGATAATTTCGTCTATCTTGGAACCAGCGTAAACACCACCAACAATGTCAGCCTGGGAATCCAACGCAAGATAACTCTTGCCAACAGGTGCTATTTCGGACTGAGTAGGCAATTGAGAAGCAAAGTCCTCTCTCGACGAACAAAAACCAAACTCTATAAGTCACTCATAATTCCCGTCCTGCTATATGGAGCAGAGGCTTGGACGATGACAACCACTGATGAGTCGACGTTGCGAGTTTGCGAGAGAAAAATTCTGCGAAAGATTTATGGTCCTTTGCGCGTTGGCCACGGCGACTATCGCATTTGATGGAACGATGAACTGTATGAGATATATGACGACATTGACATAGTTCAGCGAATTTAAAGACAGCGGCTACGCTGACTAGGTTATATTGTCCGAATGGACGAAAACACTCCAGCTCTGAAAGTATTCGACGCTGTACCCGCCGGGGAAGCAGAGAAAGACCTCCACTCCGTTGGTAGAACCTGGTGGAGAAGGACCTGGCTTCGCTTGGAATATCCAATTGGTGCCACGTAGCGAAAAGAAGAAACAACTGGCGCGCTGTTGTTAACTCGGCTATAATCGCGTAAACGGTGTCTACGCC